TTCAGATGAGACGCTGCACTACCCGCACAGGCGCAATTCTTTGGGGGGCACAATAGCTGATCAGTTTGTGTTTCCTAACATGCTAGCAGATGGAGGCTGTTTACTGTGTCAGCAAGATGTGGTGCCAGTCCTTGAAATGGAGGAACTCGTCTAAGCCTTGCTTTGTGAACAGAGTATCCTGAGCCAGGCACAGTCTGAAGCCACTGCTCTTACCTGAATAAGTAACGGAAACAGGCAACAGAGACAAGAGAAGTGCCCAGGACATCTGTGACTATGGATCATCAGACAGAGTGGGGAGGCCTAGGAAACCTGCTATGGGGCTCTCAAGAGCAGGTTTTTGGTGAAAGCAATCCCCACTATGCAAACACAGTGCCCATGATGGTGTAGGCTAGCCAGCTTGTAGAATGACCATGATACCTCTACCAACACTCAGGCCAGGCTTTCCCTAGTAAGGTCTCAGGAAGTGGCTAGGGTAAGCACTAGAGTTTCCTGTAGTGGTCTAGGCAGGGGTCATTCTGGAGTAGGCCCAGAGGGGCTGCTGGTTTGGACTCTATGGGGCAGGAGGGACAGGAGCTTTGAAGTAGGACCTCAGGGAGGACAGACAAGAGGATGTCCTGTAATTCACCTGTTGACTCTTTACCTGCCTTTGGCCTCAGTTTCCCCACCCACACAAGGAGTAGACATTTTAGCTCTGGGGGTTACTCCACACAGAAATGGAGACTTCCGGACAGAGGATCCTGTCCTATGCCTGTTTCCCCTGTATGGGGCCCCCGCACCGAAGTGGGTGCCTGGCCTCCTCCTCAGAGGAAACAGGCTAATGTATGCCACCCCGTGCCTTCAAAACTAGGGCACAAGCTGGGCACTCTGGCAGGCGTGGGAGAGCCCCCAGAGGAGACAGAGACAGCCCGGAAGACAGGAGGTGTCTGCAAGTCCTCACCCCCTCCTGAGGGAATGAGAGTCAGTGCATGACCTATCAGAGGCAGGAAGCAGCCGGCTACAAGTGGGCCGTGGATAGGCTCCATGGGCGGCTGAGTCAGTGGGGACGGGCAGGCTGTCTCCGGTAGAGCCCTGTCTTTGGTCCATCTGAACAGTTCTCTGATCCTCAGCAGAACCATTGCAAACTCAGCCCCTGCCTCTTGCTTTGCAGGAAAGTCAAATTTACAAGGGTACAACACAGGGAAGATGCTGAGCTCGGCAGATGGGGCCAGATAGTGAGGGTTCAGTAGCAGGGACCCAGCAGGCCTGCCATTGTGAATGTGCCTTTAGACCTGACTTCAAACGCAGGACTGAAGCTGGCTACACTACAGTTAGAGCAAGACCTCATGTGGCCGTGTGGGGTGGTGGGAAGAGCCCTTGGTGGGTTTAACTGCAGCGCGCTCATACACAGCTCCCCCCCAGTGCCACACCACCATGTGGGCAGTGATGAGAAGCGCCTTTCCCTTGAGAAAGGTATGTCACCAGGGTGGAGGGACAGGGCATTCTGTATGGGAAGATGGTAGCGGGAGAAGGTTGGTACCAGTCCACACCCTCTGCTTCCTGCCGTGGCTGCTCAGGGTTTGAGGAAAACAGAGCCCAGACAGGGCCACCGCAGCAGCTAGCTCATTGAGGCAGAGGTCCCGAGCCATGCTGAGAGGGAGGAATCAATGTAGAAAGAAGACAAGGTCTTGGCGCCGCTGGGGCAGGATCTTGGCATAGAAATCACCTTGGAACTGACCCTTGAGGCAAGGGGAAAGCTTTGGCTGCAGGCTGTGATACCTCCCAAGACACTGGGTGTCTGCCACACACCTAATGGTGGCAGGCAGAAGCAATTGGTTTTTAACAGGTCCTCCCAGACAGGCCCTAAAAGCTGGGGCCTGTGGTCCAGTCGCAGGCCAGGCCAGGGGCCCTGGACAGCAGATAACCCCTCCCGTTCTGCGACTCTGCTGTCCTCATCCTGTGTAATGGAATCTAGCCTTAGTCCCCTAGGGAAAGGGGAGGAGGAAAGTCATATGGACAGGCCAGCCCAGGTTTGGCTAGTTCTGGCCATCCATTTTTTTAGCAAATCTTTTCCATTCACCTTCTAAGCCCAAGGCAAGGAACCTGCCCAACCCAGGAAATATGTATGGCCACCAAAATTCAGAGGAAGAAATATATGTCCCTTTGTGTATGTGGCAGGGTGATGTAGGAACCCACCATCTGTTGACTATGGAAACAGAGGTGGGGTCACCCTGGCTGCTGCCCAGGTGACTGGTGATGGAGCGACTTCCTCTGCGGTGGACGGTGGGTGACTGGTCACAGGAGCACCGGGCTAGTCCTCCACTGAGTGGTGGCAGTCCCATCACAACCAGCCCCAGGGTTGGTCTCACATGGGCGTGGGGTTGTCTGTATCCTTGTAGCCTCTGCTTCCCTCTGCTGCCCTGCCCTCCAGTCACCTTCAGCGCCCTGGTCCCCAAGCCTGTGGAATGACCCACACCAGCTGCCACTTCCTGTTGGCGCCTCACTGGACTTCCTGCGCTGCGCTCATTCTGAGGGAAGGAACACACACCGTGCCTGGCAGGGTCGCCCGAGAGGCTGACTGACAGGAGGCTCCAGCAAAGCAGGAAAGGCACTCCTGCCACTGACCCCAGACGAGTCCCTCAGCCTGGAGGCAGAGCCCTCCCCACGCTCCCCTTTCCCTGCCCCATTCTCGGCTGCTTGGCTCTTCTTGCTTTCCTGCCCTCCCCACCCATCCCCAGGCTCCCACTCACATACCTGAGGCCACCCATCTTGTACTAAGTCGCCAAGTCCCCATGCCCCTTGAGGAGAGGCATCCCAAGATTCAGTGTGCCCTTGAAAAGGAGCAGGGACTGGGCCAAGCCACTGGGACTAATCCTCAAATGTGGTCTGTACTTGGAGGACAGGATGTAGGTGATCTGGACTCTAGGCTCCTTGCTCTATGCAGAGAAACGTGGCAAGGGCAGGAGCCAAGGCTAGGTTGGAAGGGGTCTAACGTGCCTTGCCCCTCTTGGAATGGCCTTCTGACTCCTCCCTACCTGGGGCTCAGCCAAGTTCAGGGAGGTTCCTTCTCCCCAGGCCCAGAGCAGGTCTCTTCCTTGTCCATTTGAAAAGGAGTCCATCTCTCCGCCACTCCTCACCATCTGCAGAAGGCAGAGGCGCCACACCTTCCCCTGCTCAGCTGCGAGTCCATGCTGTCACAGCCCTGCCTGACTCACTGAAGCCTCCTCCTGTCCCATCACCAGGTGAGGCAGACTTGATATCAGAGAGAGGCCATGACCTTGGGATATGACCAGAATTCTGCCCAACTGGAGGTACAGGATGAGTTCAGAGGCATTCTGGAGCTCCTGTGATGGGCCCAGCAAGCACAGCTCTCTCTGCCTCAGTTTCCCTGGCCTGCTGTGATGGGAAGGGTTAGCCAAGGCTGGTGAAGCACACAGTGAGGAGAGAAGGGGAAAGAAGAATGGGCCAGGCCCCTTGCCACACCCCATGTGGGGCCTTTTGCCTGTTCCTTGGGTACAGAAATAGAACCATGTCTCAAACTGCTTGTGTTTGGAACACCTGTCAATCGTGGTGGCAACTCGTTAAAAGGAAAAGCACGTCTGGTCCCAGGTTCTTAAGAGCAATAGTGTGGGAGCAAGAGAAAGCGGCCTTTCTCTGTGGTGGCCCCCGCCTCTGCCACTGCCCCTCCCTCTTGTCAGCACGCAGGGTTGGAGAAAAGCAGAGGAGAGAAAGGGCAGAGGCGGCTTTTCATCTTCCCTGGCACTCGTGGCTCCTGCTGGCCCTGCAGAGGGTGATGACACTTCCTGACAGCAGGTGGCTTCCTCCTTTCCATCTGTAACCTCCTCCCGGCCTCTGCTTGGAGTCTGGCAGGCTCTACCCTCCCCTGGGCAGGCGCTGTGCTTCCTCCAGGCACCAGCAGGTGCAGCTCTTTCCAGGCTGGGTGGAGCTGAACTGGGCTGGGCTCGTGCCATTCCTGGCTAGCCTGGTTGCCCTGCCTGGGGCTCCAGGAAGCAGAACTGCAGCAGAGGGGATAGTGGGCATCTGCAAATGACCGGGGCGATTGTGGTGATCTATTGGGCCACTGGATCATTCAAACACACCCTAATTCTGTGGTACTCTAAACGTGTCTCACAAGTACAGTGAAAGCTCAGAATTGGGTTCAAGGTGTGGTGCGTGTGTGTGTGTGTGTGTGTGTGTGTGTGTGCGCGCGCGCATGCTTGTGTGTGTGCACACACGTGCGCATACACATGCGCACATTGGCAGGGAGGGGCATTCATCAATGAGTAAAGCTGAGCTCTCCAGGCTAGTGAGCGATCTTCTGTGGACACTAGCTTGAGTTACAGCAGCCAATAGACTTAGGCTAGGATGGTACAGCCCAGCAGTCAAACAGTTCCTCGGCACCCTTCTCTCCTGCTGGCCCTGCTCACTGAGGCCTGTCTGGTATGGGGTTTGAGCGCCTTTCAGCCCACCTCCCTTCCTCTCAGTGGCCTGGCACTGGCAGCTGAGGCGGCACAGAAGCTGCACAGAGGTGAAGGCTTTGTGGGCCTTGGGCAGGCTATTCCCAAGGTCTTGAGCCCAATCCTGGATAGAGTTAAAGGTGGTTTTCCATTTTGCATGAGAAAACTGAAGGACAGAAAGGTGGCACTGCCACCCTGTCGTCAGGACGCTTCTCTGACCCCAGATTCCAAGCTGAGCCAGAATGAGCTCACCTCTGCAAAAAAGACCCTTGTAGCACACCCTGCACCCCAGCGGGGAATTCAGGGACCTGTCCTGGCCCAGGGTTGACAAACCCTGCTGGTCGGGGCCAGGAATGAGCCAGGCCCAGAGGCTATGAGGCCGGCTTCTGGGGACCCCGAGGGCCTCCCAGGCCAAGGACTCCAGAGTGTCTCTGGGGTCCATAGCATTGTTGCTGACCCCTGTACCCCCTCCTTGTATCTCCTTAAGCAGCCACCCTCAAAAAAGCACCCTCCTCTGAGCCCTGCTTCAGCCCAGCCCGAACCCCAGAGAAACAGCACAGGCGCCAGGAAGTTCCATGGTTTTATTAACAAAATCTTATATATGTGTATATATCTATATAAAAGTCTGTCTTCGAGGTAAGATGGTATGGACAGATGGCCTGGCTGGATTTTCAAGGCTTGGTGGGAATAGGGGGTAGCCATACTCTCTTGAAATCTCCAGGGTCTCCCTGGTTCCCAGGGCTTCCCTACACCCTGTGCCAGCCAGTGGCTTTTGTGCAAAAATAAAGCCGTGGGGGCTGGCAGGGGCATGGGGCAGAGGATCTGTCAGAACTTCAGGGGAACTGGTCCCAGAACACCAGTGGACCAGGCAGACAGAGGAACCTCAACAAGGCCTGCTCAGACTGCAGACACGAGCAGCCACCAGCACGGGGCAGTGGTGCCGGGGCCTGGGTGAGGCTCAGCTGGGCAGCAGCAGGGCGGGACAGGGGAGTGCCTGGTACAGCCCCGGGGCCAAGGCCTGGGGTCTCCTGGGACTGGGCTTGGACCACCAGGTAGGACACAGGAGGAAAGGCTGGGCTGGGCTGGGGCCCAAGCCTTAAGACTCCTGCAAGGTTCCGGCGAGGCGGCCAATGGCCACGCAGCGAGCTGGGTTCTGTGCTAAGAGGGCTAGGAGCACAGACCCTGCTCAAGCTGCAGTGGCTCATGGCGGGCAGCTAGAGGCCAGCGGGGTGGGCATCACCCTAGCTTCACGCTGGCCTGGCTTCACTCCAGCTCTCAGGCTGATTTGGGGTGCTGCCCTCTGCCAGGCGCCTCCTCTCTGTAATCCTGTTTTCTCTGCCCTGAAAGTGTCTTGTAACTTCTGTGCAGGCAGCTTCAGGAGAGGCGGGGCCGGCGCCGGCACTGTGGTGTGCCAATTCCAGGCATGGCAAGGAAGACTTCTCAGCAGCCTTGAGACCTGAGGGAGACAGGAGGCAGCAAGGTGGTTAGAGAGCTGCTCGCCCGGTGATCTGGGAGGGACAGTGGGGAGCCCTGTCCCCAGCGGGTGCCCCTGGGGCATTAGGGACTTCTTGGGAAACAGAGATTTGGAGGGTGGCTAGGCCAGGGCAGGAGGCAAGACTCCCTTACCTGATATCATTCTCCTGGCTCTGAAGGTGCCAGCTGCTGCCTCAGCTGGCTGTGAGGACTCAGCCCCTCTGGGACCCTCCACTTGCCACGGCTGAGTCACGGAGCTGAGCTTTGCTTTTCTTGGCTGGTATGAGTCACTGCTGGGGCGAGAAAGCATAGGGTCCCTGTGAGCTGGCTCAGCAAACTCCCCCAGTCCTGCCCCCTCCTCAGCCCCCTCCTGGATCCCTGGAGTACCAGTGCCTACCACAACGGCACCCACCCTGATGCCTCTCCATCCCATCCTTGCAGCTAATTTGCTAGAGAAGCCTTAAGGGTTCCCGGAACGTGAACTTGACTCCTCTGCCCACCCCAACTCTAAGACACATGGGGCAGGGCTCACCTGGGGGCCAGGAAGTTCCATGATGTCAGGTCTGCTGCTTCAGCTGCATTGTGGCTCAGCCCGGTGAGGGGAGCTGCGCTGCCCACGGCCGGCCAGTTGCCTTGGGAGGCAGCCAGGGCACCGGCTGGGTCTGCTGTGTCTGCAGGAGCGGGCGGCATCCCTGAAGGCTGAGGTTCTCTTGGCACTGATTGTCCTCGAGCTGCTGCCCTGGGTTCCCTGGGTGTGGTGCCTGGGTGTGCCCCTGGGTGTGGTGCCTGGGTGTGCCCCTGGGTGTGCCCCTGGGTGTGGTGCCTGGGTGTGCCCCTGGGTGTGGTGCCTGCTGCTCTTCGCCTTCCAGACACCTGTTTCCTGATTTCCCAAGGGACACGGGCACTGGCGCAGAACGAGGAAGCTAAGGGTGTTCTGTGATGGACTGAGAAGGAGACGGGAGGGCCAGTGGGGCTGGGGCCAGGGCGAGGGCAGACAGGTGAGGGGTGGGAGCCCTGTGGGAGAGGGGCTTCTCGATGTTCGGTCCATGTAGCATGGTCGTGTGGCAGTTGTATGTAAGTCAGGCCAGGGGGGAGTAGATGTCAGGCTGGACAGGACACCCATTGGGAGTCAGCCCCAGCTCAAGTCCCAGGTGGCAAAGACCACAGGCTGGGTGGAGCAGGCAGGCTGGGGAGGGACCCTGGGCTGGCCCTCTATTCAGGCTGGGTCCTGTCACTGGCTACTGACTCGCTGGTAAGGGCAGGTGTGAGGGCCTCAGTCTCATCTTCTGTGGGCAGCGGGGTGCCAGAAGGCTCCGCCGCCTGCTCCAGCCCGTCCTGAACCTCCATGCCCCTCTGGATGAGCTGCTCCAGAGTCTTCGGCAGTGGGTGTCGAAGAAAGCGCTTCAGCTTGGGCTGCAGGGTGCCCACCACATACTGGATGATCTCCTCTTCCTCAGCGTCCACATACAGTGTCTGGTACAGGTCCCGCTTGCGCCACAGGAACTGGTCCAGCGGCTCACCCTGCTTCTGCGGCAAGTCCAGCTCCCGCTGGATGGCTTCCCGGGAGAGCGTGCCCTCGCTGTACTGCAGAAACTCCTTCTTGAATTCCACCCAGTTTTTCACGGAGCCCTGCTTGAACTCCCACCACTTCTTGGCCGGCCCGTTCATGTGGTTCTGGATCTGGGACAGCCAATATTCTTCAGAGCCGCCCACCTGCCGCAGGTACTCTTCCAGGTGGCTCAGGAACTCCCGCGGGTCCTCGAAGATCTGCGTATCCACATCAGGGCGTGGTTGCCCATCCTCACCTGACCCCCAAGACTGGTATTGCTGGGCCTCCACTGACTCCTGATCAGGCAGCTCTCCAGCAGCAGGTGGCGGGGTGATGGCATAGGGGCTAACAGTGTAGTCATAGCCATCGGCTTCCTGACAGTAGGGCTCTGGACCCCCGACACCTACGGAGACAGTGTGGCGAGCCGGCTCGCTGCCCACTGGATACTTGCCGCCCATGGACTCCAGGCGGTCGGCCCACCGCTCCAGGCGGTAGAAGACCTCCCTCCACACGTGCATCTCACGCTTGACCCAGCGCTCCAGGTTGGCAATGGTCTCCTGACAGCGGCACAGACAGGCCTTGATGGACTTCTTCCAGCGCTGTGAGTCGCCGGTGGGCACGTAGCCGTCCAAGTTGTTCTCCAGCTTGCCCACCGACCTGTGCAACCCTTTCAGCTCTCGCTCCACCTGCTTGGACACTTCGGTCAGCAGGTGCCGATGGGTCCTCCGCACATGCTCCAGCATCTCGGCTCGACACTTACCGATCTGCAGGATCACATTGGGCTTGGCTGCCGGCCCGCCCCGCTGGGCAGGGTAGGCGTGGAGGCCGCCGGTCGTCATATGGTCCAGCTCCATCTGCTCTCAGGTACTGCGGCCCCGGACAGGCTGCGAACTCCTCTGGGGCAGAAGCGGGAAGGCAGCAGAGCGGGAGGCAGCAGAGCGGCAGGCAGCGGCCGGCGTGCAGCAGCAGAGGCAGGTGCGCGGTGATGCGCGGGACTCGGCGAGAGTGGCAGGCGCGCCGGTGCTGGGGCTGGAGAGGCCCGGAGACTGCAGCTCCTAGAGGACTAGTCGCCCTGGCACTGCACTGGAGCCGCCGCCGCCGGCTCTTTATGCTGCGCGGGGCCCGTGGGCGGCAGCTCGCTGAGCCTCAGCTCCCATTGGCGGTGCCCAGGCTGCGCGCCAGCGCCCGCCCGCGCCCTCTCCTGCCGCAGGCCCCGCCTCCCCCCGCGCCTACTCGCTTCTCTCCCGCGGGCCTCAAGGACCCGCCCCTTCACAGCCGGCTCGCCCAGGAGTGACTAATCTGCTCCGCTTCGCGCCTCCCACCGGGAGCTCTGGGACAGGAGGCACCATAGGAGACCAGAGACACCCTCAACCTAGACTTAGGCAATAAGGATGGGGGTGTCACGCAAGTTAATACCCGCTGTTTGCCTTCAGGGTTTCATGATCTCTTTACTTAGGCGGCAGCTGGACATGACCCCTCTGGATCATTGATGTCTCCATCTTGACCCTTCCTTGTCCAACCTGACTACAGTGTGCAACCTCAGAAGAGTCTGGCAGGACCCCTCACTCCAGATCTCCTCACTCATCCTCGACTGCCTGTGGTTAATCACACACACACACACACACACACACACACACACACACACACACACACAAACTGCTCCTGCCCAACCTCATCCCAAGGGTCATAAGCCCAGTCCTTGCCTGGTCTAACTCTGGGAGGGACTCCATGCAGGCAAGGCTTTTCTCTGGGTCGCTGCATTGGTGCATTTGTCTGTATGTCAGTGGCAGAACAGGGCTGCAGAGCCCTGAAGATGCACAGACACTGGGTAAGGGGAGTGGAAGGTGCAGGCAACATTGCTGAGTCCCAAAGCCCCAGGGCACAGCCAAAGCTACCCCAGAAACTTCGAGACTCCTGAGAGGTTAGACTGGAGGAAGGAGGGAGGGAGGGAGAAGGAGGAGGAAGGGGGGAGGAGAGGCAAAGGAGCCGGCAGAGGAAAGCGAGCTACCATATAAGGAATGGGGCTCCGGAAGCTGAGATTCCCCATAGAGGGAGGCCCCTTCCGATTCCCTGGCAACAGCGCTGTGGTGCAGTGGGGGAGGGCACCCTTCTTGGCTTACTCCAAGCTGGATACATGGGTCTGGGTCTCCCATCCGCTGATGTTACTTGGGGACATGTCACTGCCCACAATAGAATCCTGAAGGGGCCCCCAAACACGTGGTGCCAGCAAGAACACCTTTCCCTCTCTGCCCGCTCCCCCTTTCTCACTCACAAATTCACACTGAACACTCATAGACCCCCAACACAGCCTACTCACAGCCTTCCATACACACTCATGCCCCCCCACTCACGGCTCTCCATGGACACCAGTGCCCCCACTCACAGCCCCCATACACACTCATGCCCCCCACTCACAGCCCCCATGTAGACTCATGCCCCCCCACTCACAGCCCCCCATACACACTCATGTCCCCCCACTCACAGCCCCCATGTAGACTCATGCCCCCCACTCACAGCCTTCCATACACACTCATGCCCCCCACTCACAGCCCCCCATACACACTCATGCCCCCCACTCACAGCCCCCATACACACTCATGCCCCCATACACACTCATGCCCCCATACACACTCATGCCCCCCACTCACAGCCTTCCATGGACACTAACGGCCCCTACTTGCAATCCACACACACTCCTACCTCAGCCTCCCCCACCCCACTCTTGTTCACACACCTACAGAAATCCCCTCACCGTGTACCCCTCAGAGCCCCTCCCCTGCTCTCTACACAGAGCCAACCTGTCTCCTCCTTCTCCATGGGCTTCCATCCCTAAGGGGAATGTCTTTTGCGGGGGGGGACTGCTGGGGGAATAAACCTCCCTCAAAATGGCTCTCCTGGCATTTCTAATTAGAGGTGAGTAGGCGGACACAGAAGGCAGGCGGAGGGACATCACCACAAGGAGGGGAACCAGGCAGAGAAATTACTAGAATAGGAACCAGCTAGATTCTTCCTCTGGAGGAATCCTGGGATCTGGGGGCTGCAGGCCTGAGTCTGGAGCTGAAGGTTAACTAAGGTCCTACGCCCTGATGAGCCAGTTGGCCTCTGTTCTGTCTGCAAACAGGGTTAGCTTGTCAGCGACAGCCATTCAGTGGCCAGAGTCAGCCTCTATGTACCCACGGCAGAAGCTAGTGAACAGCTCCCTAGAGCAGGGAAGCTGGGGCTGAGCAGGGCTGAGCAAACCCTGGAAGCAGCAGGGGTCACAGCATGAGTTGCACTGTAGCCGAGGGGCCAGTGTCCTCCACATCCCAATTTGTAGGGGAATTGTGTCCACATGGTGGAGAAATTCCCAGTGCCAAGGTGCTATGGCCCTCCGGCCGCCTCATCTGTCCCCACAGAGGACAGTCCATTCAGACCACCGTTCCTGGGACACTCTGCTTTGAGTCCCACTGGAGTGATTGGTCACATAGAATCCTGCCTCCTCCTTCAGGGTCTTCAGAAGCTGTGAACACAGGAGCCCAGTGACAGGTGACAGGAGCAGGCAACAGCTACTGCTGTTCTGGGAACACTTAATCGCTGCCCAATTATCGCCCCAGAAGTCCTCAGCAAACCCCCGCACTGCAGCCTGGGGCTACGTTCTGCCTAGAAAAGAGGCCAGGTTGGCTCTCTGCCTCCAGGGAGGGGGACTTCTAATCCACATTCCTCCAGCAACCTCCCCACACCAACCCTACCCTATGAGAGAGCTAATTGTGCCACCCTCAGCCCCGTTGATGGTTGGGAAAGGATCTAGGGAGGTTGGGGCTGGTCCTATGCAGGGAAAGAACCTGGGGGAAGCAAAGACAAGCTGCCTCAGAGAGTGCTCAGGAGTGGGGCAGGCCTTGTGACCTCAGGAGTCCATGGAGTGCTGAGATCGTTTAAGTGACCAGGTAGCCTTGTCAGTCCTGCCCTTTGCTCCCAGGACACCCTGGGCTCTGACCTCACAGTCTTTCCTTTGGGATGTTGTGGTGCTATGCTGCCAATGTGCCAGTCGGAGAGCTCTGAGCGCTGCTGCCCTGCCCCCTTCCTCTGGAGCCTCTAGCTCTGCTCACCTGCTCCTCTTCCCCCACCGGAGATTTCCTATGAGTACAAACTCCCTGGCAGGAAGCACGTATGTCGGGCCCCCACCACCTAGACTCTCGGGCTTTAGGGTCCCCTAAGTTTCCTCCCTGCTTGAAGTCCCTTCGTGGCCACTGTGCCTGGCTAGAGGGTCTTCCCAGCAGTTTTTTTCCCAAGGCTGGGCAGTTAGTAGTAAAGGGAGTAAGAGGGCAGCCCCTTCGCGGACAGCTCTCCTGGCCATCCCTACACCTGCACACAAAGGTATACTGTGGGCATCTGTACCCACGAACAAGCATACATACATACATACAAGCACACTGATCATCCATCCCCTGTGATGTGGGCTGCTGCGGGACCCCATTTGTCACGGAGCCAGAAGCCAGGGCAGCAGAGGTGGGCTTCCTGCTCTCATCTGCCATCTGTGTGGGCGCAGGAGAAGGGGTATAGGCTTTTACCCCTTGATTGACCGAGCTTCAGGACCTCCTACCTAGCCCCTGACCCAGATGGTTTCCTTGGGGGGTTGTTTTTTTTTTTTTAATCAACTCTTTAGATAGCCTCCTGCACCCACTTTGCACAGATGTCCTTTGCTGACTGAACCACAGCCCCAGCTCCTGGTCCTGCTTCTCTGCTCCAGGGATGATGTCCTGGTAGCTTGGCCAGGTGTGCGCTCTGAGTGAAGAGCCCAGAGCAGGGATTTGGTGTGAATCTGAAGAAGAGAAAGGGATGAGCCCCTCCACAGACCTCCTAATCACCCCGCCCCCCTTTCCCTTCTGTGGCAGTGGAGGAACAAAGCCCCACCACGCCCAGAGTTCCCCTCCCTTGCCAGCAGCCTTCCTTCCTGAGCCACGGGAACATGTTCTCTCTACCCCCCTCCTTCCTCTTCCGTCTGGCAGGCTGTGTGCTACATCCTTGTCCCTGGAACAGTCAAGGCAGCCTGTTCATTCAGGGCCCCCACACACCAGACCCTCCTCCCTCTCCTCTCCTCGCTCCTCCTTCCTGCCTCCTGCCTCAGCACCTCCAGTCCAGCCTCTAAGGAAGTCTGGTAGTTTTCCACGGATCCTGTTCAGCCGCGTTTCCCAGGCGTTCCCCACTGCCAGCCTAGCAGTGGACAAGGACATATGTTTGTGGGAGTCTGTCCTCAAGAGACCTATGTTCCTCACTGAACCCAGCTTTATTCATAAGGGAAACTGAGGCCCAGAGAGAGCCAGAAACCTGCCCAAGCCACACAACAATGGAGGCGAGAAGCAGAGTAGGAATCGGGGTAGAGATCTGAGGGAGACCTCTAGGCTTATATAGGACCCTCCCTTGTGCTATATGAACATGGTGAGTCTCCCTAAGCCTCTACTCCTGTGGTCTCAGTTTCCCCACTGGTGGTCCTCTGCTATGCTTCTAGTTTGACCACTGCCCTCTGTAACTGTCAGCACCAGTGGGTGGCCTTGCTCAGAGCCTCAGAACTTGGCAAAGAGCACCTAGCACTTCCTTCCTGGGGATTCTTAACACAGGGAGCAGGTCGGCCCCTCTAATGGTCATCGCTCAAGGTAGGACAGTCTAGACCAGGTAGGAGAGGCCACATGGGCATTGTAGGTACAGATCTCAGGAATCAGATGCTAGGGGGCAAGTTTAAGTGTAGAAACAGGGGACAGAGCACAGACCCGGGGAAGCCCTTGGGGTCAGCCTACCTGAACATGACCTGAGAGCTGTGGGCAGGAACTCTCTTCTTGCAACTCCCTGAGGCTATGCATGACTTCAGGCCACTCATTCAGCCCCTCGGTCTCAACTACACAACAGGCAAACTGTCTAAGTGGCCACTAGGGCTGCTCTTCAAGGTGAAGGGTGAGAGACGTTGGGTACACCTGTGGCTATGAGGCTCCTCTGTCCTCCCAACTGCCTGCTCACTTGTTCAGTTGACAAATGCCAACCCCAGTGCTAAAATGAAGGCTTGGCTCCCTACTGCTGTATGGAGTTCCCAGCCCCAGCAAATGCTAAGTGCTGTGTG